ACATATTGTTTCAGTAATATGTCACAATAACCAAAATACGCAGGTCTCAGGCAAGTGAAAAGTCACATCACCTAGGTGCTAAGTCCAGCGATCTGTGACAAACTTTTCTTTTGGCAGTACTCAAGTGGAACGGAAAAGTCAAATCGCCAAGATAATGAATGAAAAGATGTGTTAGAATAGTTCTGTGTGAGAGCCCATGCAGGAAAGTCACATCACCATGTTGATGGACCCAGAGACATGTTGAAATACGTGATGCTGGCCAGGTACAGTGGCTCACACCAGTAATCCCAGCACTTTAGGAGGCTGAGGTGGGTGGATCACCTGAGGTTGGGAGTCCGAGACCAGCCTGACCAACATGGAGAAACCTCATCTCTACTACAAACACAAAAACTAGCTGGGCTTGGTGGCACATGTCTGTAATTCCAGATACTCGGGAGGCTGAGGCAGAATTGCTTGAACCTGGGAGATGAAGGTTGCGGTGAGCTGAGATTGTGCCATTGCACTCCAGCCTGGGCAACAAGAGTGAAACTCCATCCCAAAACAAACAAACAAACCAAAAAAACACACAAAAAAAGATGCATGCAGGTCTCAGGCACAAAAGGAGAGTAACATCACTTAGGTGCTGGATGCACCTAAATGCACATCACAATTTCTTCTTAATCACACCCCAAGCAGTAGCAGAGATTCCTACCACCTAGGTTCTTGGTCTAGCAGTATCTCACAATACCCCTGAGGGGAGGACATAGGTAAAAAAGTCACATTACCTAGGTGAAAAGCCTAGAGATACATCACAATGTCTTTTGTGAGTAGGGCTTATAAAGAAGAGGAGAGACATAGCCTAGATGCTGGGCTCAGCTTTATGTTCCAGTCACCCCAGTGGAAAGAAGCCAAGAATGAGGAAGAGTCACATCACATAGGAGCTACATCACATGGCATATCACAATTCCCACTGTGGACAAACCCCAGAAGAAAAGAGTCACATCATCCAGGCAGGAGGCCCAAACATATATCACAGTGACTCCTGTGTGCAGGGACCAGGCAGAATAATTACATCACTGTTGTGCTTGCCCCAGCAATAAGTCAATCTCTATTCTGTTGGCATGGCCCAGGCAGAAGAGGAAGGTCACATCACGTAGGTAAAAAGGGCATTTACCTCAACTTTGCCCATAGGAGAGATTGTAATGGGTCAAGAAATACGTCATAATGCTCCCTGTGGTCAGGCTTCAGGGAGAGGACTCACATCTTCTTAGTGCTGAGCCCAGCCATATGTCTCAATGCCTTCTAAGGGCAGAGCCAAAGCAAAAAATAGGAACAACACCTTAGTGTTAGGCACAGTCATATGTCTTAATCTCTTTTGTGAACAGAACCTAAAAAAAAGTATCACATCAGCTAGGAGCTGGGTCCAACAATATGTCCCAATATCCCCTGTGATTAGGGAAGAGCCAGAAAAAGTAAGTCACATTTCCAGGATGATTGGATGATTGGTGAAGACATATATTACAATCCCCTCTGTACACAGGTCCAGGATGAAGTGTTACATCACCTAGGTGTTGGACTCAGCAACGTTACAATGGCCTATGTGTTTAGCATACAAGCAAAAGATTAACATAACATAGGCCCAGCAATATGTCACAATACATCTGTGGGTAGCACCAAGGCAGAAGAGTCGACTCACATCACCTGGGTGCAACACCCAGGAATATGTCATAATGACCACTGTGGGCTGTATCAAGGCAGAATAGAATCATAGTACCAAGGGTCTGGGCCCGGTGATATGGCACTGTGAGCTG